TCCTAACAGTTGCCTTAACTATTTAAAATATAAAAGTGACGGATAGTGTGTCAATAAATTGTTGGGGGTTTAATCTGAATGAGGTAGTACAGATAATTCCTGAACTTCGTGTTTCTAACATAATTCATCCCCTATGTAATGGGACATTTTTCAGCGTAATAAATTTCGAATTTTGATATCGTGTACATCATTTTAATATAAATGTATTTATTCAAGCATAGGCACACATACGTACACACACTCACGCTGGTTTTGAAAACTGTTTTTAGGATGAGTTATTTAATGATTTAATACCATACGGACTTTTTTTATGCTCAATGTTGTTAGTTCAACAAGAAACTCTCAGATTTGTTGAGGGCTCCTAATATTGGAAATGTGATACATTAGTGTGTAGCGTGCAGACAGAATTACCTGAAGCCCCCAGGATCCGCCATTCCTCTCTGATATCATTCTGGCAAATCCTAATAACTTTCTTCTACGTCGATTTGGTTCTGCCTTGCCCGTTAACCGATCGCTCATGTCATTTTATTGAGTTGTGACGTCAGAGACGGTTACATCTAACCAATCAATCGGACCGGGATTCACAAATCAGATAAATTGCCGAAGATCTCGGCAATAAGGGGCTCTCTGAACATTATATTTACATTGTGGCGGACGGACTAATAGAATAAAGTCATAAAGGTTACAACGTTTATAATATTTTGTTAACTTTGTTGAAACTCAACTTTTGCTTGGGAAAATTCCGTGGGAATGTGTGTCATGTGGCATATCAAACGAAGCATGAAAGAATTATAAGACTATCGTTTTAAGCCGTGTTACTGTAGGATGGGTACAAAAGAGCAATCTTCCAAGACATGAACACGTATTTTTAAGGGAGAGATTTAATTAAAAGATAAGACCGGAGGAAGATTGGTAACAACGGATGGGTTTAGTTTTAACTGAAAACAAGTGGATCATGTCTCGATTTTGGAATTCCCTCGGTCATTTCGTGATCCACCTCGCGGCATCCGCCTCTGGATTAATTCTTTCTGTTAAAGTAGTTACGTCTAATGCGGAGAGATCTTTTTCTTGTGTTTGTTTTGTTTTGTGCGCGGAAAAAAACAAGCGAAAGGCAGTCTTCTGTGTCTTCCTGAGTGCGTCTATAATTGGTAAGCATACAGTCTCGCAAGGTGGACTTCGAGTTCTTTACGCTGAAGACGACTCCACTCACCCATTCTCATCCATATGTCGGACACCGTTTCTCTGTAGAGCGATGGTGAATTTTACGCTAATAAAGTATAATGAGCTTGACTTGAATGTCATATTTATTTGTTCGATATATAATAAATTTAATTGAATGCTCCAGAACACAGGAGTAATTACAGATATTTGCGAGGTCAAGGGTCACGATACCTACATTTTTATTCGTGCGATTGTCCATTCTTGACACATCGAACATGAACATTATTTTTCATCGGAAAACATTTCCTTCTTCACGTAAACTACATTAGCGGAACTAATATTTTATTACGTGACTGTAAAATTATTTTAATCGACTTCGAAATAAAGACCTGGCTTCAAGTGTTTTGACATCAGAATTGGTGATATTCAGATAAGTGATTGTTTCCGATAATTATTTTGGAAGGTTCAGAGTATAGAGCACTTCTGAAAACTGTATTAATCGTCTGAAAAGCAGATATTGCAGTCCACTTTTCTTGCCTTACAGAGTAACTCTGGAAACATTACCCATGTCTCCCAAATCACAAAACCAAGTAACCAAAACGAAGATTTATATTCGAGTTAATTAATGTGTCGTGTAAGTTGTCTTAAGCCCTTCAAGATGTTAATCCCTAGAAAAGATTATCCTATCATCGCTTACCCCTGAATCGTAGCTAGCTTGCAGTAATTTGAAAGTGTTTTAAATTAGTGACTACAGACGTTGTGAACCCACGTAAAACTACTATTCAAATTATTATCATTATACTGTAGTCATAACCTATTCGTTCTCATAAATTAAAAGTTACATTTTTATGAGAAACTGGACACCCTGAATACTTTACTAACTATAACATCGAAGCAAGAAAAACAGACTCTGGTTTGATTACATTAGATCCGGGTTAAATATTAACATGGATGAAACATAGTCATTTGAACAAAATGGAAAGAAAATATCTCCGAACCCACCGAGATTCTCCTTTACGTTTCTATAAATATTAAAATAATTAGCTTAGCGAATAGTCTGTAATGAAGTGACGGGAAATAATTAAAGCCCTTTTTCTCTGGTTACATGATAAACAATTAGACGTATTCCAAATTAACAAGACGCCAGACTGTTGCGTCCTTAAAAGGTCTCAATTTTCGGTGAATATACTTTTAATTTTTTTATTTTAATTGGTCTTCTCTCAATATGCTTACAACTCGATAATACAAAGCACTGCAATAATTTAGTGTCAGTGTATGAAAACGCCACAGATTGTGTCGAGATTAAGAAGGATTTTGCTTCCAGTTGCACTATACATGCTCAGACTTATTCTGCGTCGAGTTATTCGATGTACGACACTGAAGATGAAGAGGAACGTCTCTGTCTCCCTCGGAGCTACATTTTGTTATGACATCCTCAGGTAGTCGAACTCATATCGCGATGAGCAGACACTCATCAGAGTTCTTGAGACGCTAGTAGTAACCAACTTAGCGAAGAAATTCCCCGGTTTTTATGAACCTCGAGGTCTGTTTCGTAGTGACAGGGAACCCTCTTAATGTGGATTATTGTTGTTTGTGCTGTTATGACTATTGTTATAAACTAATGCCGCGCCCACATTCTTAGCACTGTTGCTTTGGATTCGGGACGTCCCAGATCCAAATTTTGGCACAGAAACTTATAGTTTAGATGCGTCATGTTTGTGTTTAAAATTCAAATATATATTTATTATTCAAGTCTATACACAAACTTTTAAATTGTTGATGTTAAAATTTAAAATTAATATTAATATTCTGCGCCATTCATCGTTATCTCGATGTTACAGTATTGCGCTTTATACTACTACATATTTCAATGTCATAGCATCATCTTCAGGTTTTTTATCTTTAAAACTACTTTATATTTATTAATGCAAGCTTTTCATTGATTGTAGATTGTAGATTACTGTTGTGGGTGTTCCTTTGATCTTCTTATTATTTTGCATATTATGTTAGTTGTTCATTATTCTGTGAAAATATTAACAATATAATTAACATTTGAGTTATTAATATTATTTATATGAATGGCGCAGAATATTAATATTAATTTTAAATTTTAACATCAACAATTTAAAAGTTTGTGTATAGACTTGAATAATAAATATATATTTGAACAGAAACTTATGTTATTAGCGTGTTTCTAAGAATATTTCTGCTCGTCGAGTATGGAATGTAATAATTCTAATGCTTCGTCGTTTGCATTTAGAACAACCTTCCAGGTGGATTTAATGTGTTTTTGAACTTGTCTGATTTTTTTATGTGACAGAAATCTGTGGTCACTAATTTGCGAGATAGGGCCTTATCAGACTTCGCCCAGCGATATTGAATTGGTCCGTGCGTCAGCTGTGAGGTCAGCGCATTTGCGTCCATGAACAGGATCGAATGGTACGGAGCGATCCCTTCATCTGTCATTCTCCCGCCTCCGATGTTGGAATCACAGAAAGCCATTTGCTCTTATGCACTATACATGCGCCTGTGAATGAAAGCTGTTGGTTGGAACGCGGGTAGCGGCAAAGTGCGCGCGAGGCTTTCAGGCGTCCCACTTTTAGACCCGCCGTAAACAAATAGTCTGAAAGGTCGTCTTTCGTAAATGCCAAAATCAAAATCCATTATTTAGCAACGCTCTACCAACTGCTACAGTTAGAGTCTGTGATGTTGACGTCAGTGTCTGATGACGGAAAATTGCCTTCGGACGAGGTGTGAAACGAGGAAAACCCTACGACTATGCCCCTATAACCCCATTCGTTTAGAGATCTGCGCTCTTGTCAGAACTCGGTCACTCCACTTCCATGTAATTTGTTTTATACGAGTTTCGTCAATTATTAATTTAAAGTCGTGAATGACCCCCGACCGCCTCGTTATAAAAAAAATATACCTATGTGAAATTTGTAGCTGATGTAATTTTTAAGTAATTAGCTCACATTAGTTTCAGGAAACTGTTTAACATTCAGAGCCAACAAGGTTTATTAGAGCCCTCGATATTAAAGCAATAACTGTAATTATTCAGTTTCGTAATTGCAATATTAACAAGAAACAAAGAAGGTTCACAAGTTAAAAGTTAGTAAATATATTTTCCATGAACAGAAATTGAACTTAACTGAATTTGAAGGTTTCTGAACGTGGTACGTTTATTGTTAAAAAAAACTTAACTTTCTAGACTCATCCATTGTTTTGATTTTTTGTTAAAACGCGACGTTTCGGAGACTGGAATCTGTCTCCGTAAAGCTAGTACCTGTCTCGGGGGGCAGGGACGAACGGAGTAACTTTTTACCTGAGGGCCGAGACAGATTCCAGTCTCCGAAACGTCGCGTTTTAACAAAAAAAAATCCATAAGACGGATGAGTCTAGAAACTTCGTTGTTTTAATGAATTGAACTAATTCCATCTGATATTGTTTTTAAAACCTACTCCTGCCTTCAATAAAATACGCGGCTTAGTAATAATTTGAGACGTGCTGTATGAAGTGGTTGCAGTCTGTAAAGTCTTCCGCCGCTGCAGCGGCTGAGGAATACGGCAGGAGAACACAGAAGATTTTACTCTATTTATACAATTTGTGTTCTTGCAAATCAGTCATTTTGTTGATATGCGCTCCTGGCATGATGCCCCCTCGACTTGTAACACGTAACAGAACGTAACCTTGTTAGTGTGAACGTCTCTTATAATCGCGTAGACAGAGGCTCTTTATTGTGGGTGTCCAATTTCCTTCCTCCCCGCCCCAAGTGCTGAGGAGGTAGTTTATGAGTCTGTGGGGAGGCAGTGACCTTACATCTGCGTCTTTTTTTGCAGTGGTGATCCAGCGGTACGAACCGGAGGTCCAGGGTCCGGGCGGGTTTCTGGGTAATGACGTAATCATACGTTGCAACGTGCCTGCCTTCGTCAAGGAACACGTGACTGTGACTTCGTGGCTCCAAGAACCTTCTTTCAACATTTACCCGTCTACGGTGAGCGGTGAGTACACGCCACTGTCGATCTGTGTCATGCTATTTGCAGAGTCGTCGAATGTGTTCGGCGAAGAAAAGTTGGCCACTTTTGGAACATATCCTTTTGTTCGAGGAAGCCTCAAACAATACCAGGATTGTATTTAATTTTTACATCATCTGCATTTCGATTCCTGAAACTTAACAAATTTCGATTGCCTCGTCAGGTCCTGCGTTCCTCTCCCAAAAACGCGCCCAGTGTTTTTTAAGTCAGCGCTGTATTTTCGTGCCGTCATTTGAAGATTTATTCATTCTCAGCACTAGTAAATCTGTACATCTTGAACACGTAAAGGTCACTAAAATAAGTTATATAGAATTCCAGGAAAATTTGCTGTTAAAAATGGTACTTTGAATTAACTAATGAGAGGAATTTTATATCAGAGGTGCATTCTATTGGAAATTTTTTAGACAGAAATTTTGTAAGCGTAAGGAACCTTTAGATGACTTGACTAGTTTTTGATTTAGGGACGCGAATTATATTCTAAGACCGTAGTTGTACATTAGTAAAAGTTAGATTGAGATTAAATTCTACATCTAATGAACGTTTAAGAAACTCACTTCATTTTTTATTTCGTAACATGAGGTGTGATTTTAAAGAAAATCAGCACTCGATAAAATACTGAAGTTCATATTCCCATCCTCGACTGTGGATCCGTCGTCTAGACCTGCATGTGGAGTATGAAATCATGCTTAGAACAGCCCCAATAACTTTCTTCCAGAGGGCCACTGTGCAATATAATAGTGGGGGGTAATGCCCCATTAAAATGTAACCCGTGGTATGTTTGAAAATGAGCGAACTGGAAACATTAGCTGATTAATTAGTCCAAAGTCCCTTGTAGTCGCGCAGTGTGATCTATCATTAATTTCAGCCCCGAGCTTACATGTGGGCCTATCACTGGGGCCATGTACTCGTATAGGCGTGATGCAAATTTTATACCACAGTAAAACATTGACATTCCTGATGATAATTATATTCGATTGATGTAATATCAGTGAGGTTAAGAAAATGCTAAGCGGGAAGGTAAATGGCATACTTAAGGAAACGTCTCGTGAGACAAAGTAGTAATTTAACATTTTCCGTGGCAGTCGTTACCATAATCAGGGAGTGGATAACATACCGATTATAGATAAAAGGAATTAATATGGAGGAAAACTGCATAATTTGCTTTGTACGTAGTCGCTGATGTTAGGCTGTTAAACAGCGTAACCTGCTTAAGGTATTGGATGGGGTAGACATGTAGCACGATTCGAGAAACAACAGATCTGTGTAGCGTTTTGGTTGGGTAATTCTATGAGAAGAGGCTAAGGACAGTGTGAGTACTTCCTGAGGATTCAAACTGTATTGAGATGTCCAGAGGCAGACTTGTGTGTTAATAAACCTAAATACCTCTCTGTCAGAAGAAGGCAAGCAGTGAGATCGTGGATTAGTTTCGTTATTGTATGGAGCCTATCTTTATAACCTGCTGAGCTTATGTTGCGTCATATGTTGTGGGAAATAATTAGTTACAGTATAGTTTGTTGTTGCCGAAACAAGTAACGTGTAGGGTTATGTTCGTGGCCAAACTATGATGTGACAGGTTTTCAAATATCTAGCAAAGAACTAACACTGGTACACTTAAGTTGTATTATTTCTTAAAAAACAAATCTTTTGATATATTATTTAATAAGCATATATTTTAAGGTCTCGCTTGTGAGTTTCGCTCTAAACTTTAGCGTACTTTACTTATTTATAAATCCGGCGCTGAAAGACACGTCTTAAGTCACTACACATTGCAACTCTTGCAATTGATCAGCTTGCATTTAATCCCTGTCTATAGGCCTATTTGATGTAGACTGACTGACGGAACTCAACTGGCTTTAATTCATGTCGAGTTTGACCCCCCCCCTCCCCCGGGAATCTGTTCGGTTCAGTGCTAATGAAAATCTCGAAATTAAAACCATTTATTTTTCCCAAATTCTGAGGCGTCGAAACGTGATAAGTTATCCCGAGAATTTGTATGTTTGTACTGAACCCAATTTATATGACAGCATCAGACCTCAGTTGCGTAAAATATGTCGTTTGAAGATGGCTGTCTTCTAAGTTGTACTGCCGTGCAGTCAGATGTTTTCATGGTCGCTGCAGTAAGAACTTTAGATGCCCTTGTCCATAATGAATTCTTCTCCGGCCGCCAGCCGTGTCAGAAGAAAACACCGACGTTTCGACAACTTCATTACCCTGAGGACGAAGATAGTTCTCAAAACGTTGATATTTTGTCCATAAAGCCACTTACACCTCTGGTAATCCCGAGAAGAATTCGTTATACTTGGTCGCCGTGAAAGCTTTAGATCATACCCCTCTTATCCGTGCTGTGGTCCGTGTTATTCGTAAATTTTAAGCGGCTAGAATTTCCAGGTATTTCATTTATCACAGAACCTTTTTTTTATACCACGAGAATGTTTAGTTGCGTCTTTTCGAGAAAAAAAATTCTGCAAGTTGCGTCTGAGTTTTATGAACGCTGAACTATTTATCTTCAGACAACGCGTTTGTTGGTATCAACACATTTTAGTCGAATTTAATTTATACAGGAATGTTCTAATTTCACTGTTATTTTCTATCACTTTTAAGTTACTTTTAGATATTCCATGGCCGTGTTGTTATTCAAAACATGGGGCATATTTCACGACATTTCACACAATTTGTAATTAAAATGAACGTTGAATATGCATACAGAAGTTACATTCGTGCGTAGATGGACAGTCTTTATTACGTCACTATATAACCTGTTGTTTTAAAATTAAATCATATTTATTCTATCTGCAAGTTCATATGTGTTTTCTGGGTACAGGCCGCAGATCGATATGCGTCCGTCGTCTGTTACGTGTGAATTCATTGGGCCGACGTCAGAGAGAGACGACGTGGGTTTTCGCTTTTCAGTCTGTTTAGAAATTAGCGACCACCACACCTAAAGCAGTAATAGAGATTTGCAGCTCTTGAGATTGTAGCAGCAAGCATCAGTCCGATTTCGGTAGTATGTGCTTTGTGCTCTAAAAACTGTGTATGGGTTTTGAGTTTGTCACTTCGACAGCTGTAAATTGAAACTGTTGCACCTAAAATAGCAGTCCGTTGTGTCGGATGCACTCTTACATTAATAGTTAACTCATTTACTGAGGTTCGGACCGTTGTAACTCGCGATAAAGTATGTGACTATGTCATTCAAGAAACTGTCTCTTGATGGTTTATCCATTACATTAACATAATTTATATTTGAAATTTAGTTTTTAAATTTTGGGGTTTATTTATGTATTAAGTTATATACAACCATTGTAGTTAGGCCAATTATAAATCCATCGGACAAACACCATTGGCCTATTAAATCCAGTGTACACTGTAATACGCTATTCGCTATTTGATTCAATACGCATCACAAACACTAATTCAACTCTTGAGCGGTGGAGTCACGGAAATGACCCACCATTTTGTCACTTCGTGTTTTCCTTCCAACTCAATGGAACAGAGTCCTGTCTTCAGAAGCTAACAGTCAACACAGGTACTCGAGAAATTTGCCGCCTTTTATGGAGCCCGAAGATTCATAACGAACTCCACTCTCTTAACGTCTTATATTATCCTCATGTTTACAAAAAATTGTTTCTATATGTGATGATGAGCACTTCAATGTGAGTGGTTAAATGCCACCTGTGTCCAACTTTACCTCTGCTACAAGAAGATGCTCTGGGCCGTGTGCCATAGGATTTCATCCGAGTGCTCTTCGGATAAGTGATGCAGAATGTCTTTTTTTTTCCGCGGTCGATGGTAAATACGCTTCTGCATGTGCGTGATGTGCCGAGGCATGAAACCAGCTAACAGCTTAGAGCAGAGTCCTTGTCGACATTGTAATAGATCTCACTCCACACATTAAGGGATTAGAAGTCTCCTATCTTACAATTTAAATTTACTTTGATCGCTCAGGGGAACTGGTGTCTCTGGGAAGGGACCTTGTTGTTGTACCCAAGGATCCTTTGAGTGGTCAGCTCCAGACCGGAAATAAACTTGTTCGAAATTTACCTTGCATTGTCCTCCACTTTACAGTGGTTGTACAAGAATTGTGTAAGCAAATACACACAACGGGTTACATGTATTTGGCTTACCTGTACAGTGGTCGAAACAACCTCGGAAGATGTATTCCTTACCAGAATAATAACCTCACGCGTTATTTGCGACTTGCGACGAATTAAACTCTCTCTGACCGCCACATCGGAGCACTTCAATGTTTACGTCATCCGCCATCTTGTTATTGCCTCTCGAATGATATTCATATTGATTTTGAGGTCGTGCAAAAATAGCGCCAACTCCACATCAAATTTTATCAAAATCCGTCAAGTGGTTCTCGAAGGACGGCCACGACGAGCCCATAATGCTTTCCTGCCACGCGTAATAGTGACGCTTTGTCCCGCGGTGGCGTCTTCCTGCACTGACGCCTTTGATCTGAGATCGCCCGTCACGGAGATTGTCTGCCTTGATGGAGAGGTTCCACAGTTCCGTCAAACAAATGCTGGAATAGCACGTGGCAGCAGGTGACGACTTCTTCCTCCCTTATATATTCTTTATAATTATTTATTCATGAATTAATATTCATCACAACTCCAAGATCGAATAGTAAAATTGTAGGTCGAATTGTAGTGGAGACGAACAATCGATCTATCGGGTAGCAAACGGTATGTTCTGCTGATTACAAATTGCTGCCTGGAGGTTTGAAATTAGATATTTTCATGTGTGGAGTTTGTATTTTCCAAGAATTTTCATGGTCATTTTGATTTTGATTTCTGTAAAAAATCTACAGATTTTGATATTTGTATCTTCTGTGTATTCTCTTTCGTTACGAAAATGTCCTTGTTCTTTCGTATTTTTCATACCCTATTTTATCCGCTGTTCTTTTTAAGCTGGTTTTCCGTGCACGTGTTTCCTCAGTACAGAGTTTCATGTGATCTCATTTG